TGGAGGGGTGGGGGGGGGTAGCCTGCTTAGTGGTAGGCCAACAAGGAGGGAGTTGCAGTAGTCAAGGCGAGAGTGAATTAGAAGCTTTGAGGTATCATTTGTTAGGAAGGAACCTTTAAATAATGGAACCTGCCAGGAAGTGGCATACCCATGGAACATATAATCTCTCAAGGTACTGTATATTGCAACAATCCAATCTGTGCCTGCTTCCATCAGTGTGGGTCAATGCCTGTCACATCTCTGATCATTACTCAGTGCCCAGTTCAATCATCTTTTAACCTCCACTCATGTTTGTTTGTCCAATTTGGGGATATATTAAAAAAATGAACATACATCCATAACAAATTACTCCACTTACCAATTTCACTTCAAGAATGAATGTGATTAGTCAGATGTAATATCAGGAAAATGCCACATTATGTCCACTAGATGGCAATAAGGAGCATACTAAATAAATATTTCCTATGCTCCGCAGCTTCTTCTAGGGACCATAATGTGGTATTTTGTTGATATTACGTTCAACCTGGAAAGAAATTATGCCAACAACAATCATTTTTGCCCCATTCTCACAAAACAAATGTACATGCAATTTTGCATTAACAATGGCTTTGAAAAATTGTTTATAACTGCACCCCTAAGTGATTCTTTACATCTTTGCAGTGTACATTTTGAGATTTATTATTCCATATATTATTCTTCCTGTAGCATACTACACGCACTACCCCTTGGAAAGAGTTAATTTTTCTGTACAAAAGTTTGATTTCTGAAGAATGTATTTGTTGAGTGGCACTGCTATTTTGCTAAGGTGTCATTATATTGTTATTGTATACAAGCACCAGAGAAGACATGTACTTTAGTTTGAATATGACTGTAAAGCTATTAACTCCCCCATGCTGGGATTGAGTGTGTGTTTTATACTTCTATAGTCAGAGTTTTAATTAACATTTTACAATTAAAAAAAACATGATCATCCAGTTGGAAAATAATTACACCTTGCTGAGAGAGTCAATAAATAAAAATAAACATGCTTCAGTGACACACTACACTAGCTGAATTGATGTAACATTTTCTCACACTATGGGGCGCAGCCACGCAGGCCTCATGCACACGGGGAATATGATTTTATGTAGGATCTTGCTGGCTCACGGGTTATATGATTTTATGTAGGATCTTGCTGGCTCACGGGGCATATGATTTTATGTAGGATCTTGCTGGCTCACGGGTTATATGATTTTATGTAGGATCTTGCTGGCTCACGGGTTATATGATTTTATGTAGGATTTTGCAGGATGCATCCAAATTTCATCGCGTTCGAATGCAAACTAGAAAAAGATGGTAACCGCATAAATTTATAACCAGCCTTTGAATGCAAACTAATACGTGGTTGTTTAAAGAGAATTCGGATCTGTCCGAATTTCGTTCAAAATGAAACTAAGTCAGACATGTGACTGTTCTCTGGCCAATCAGAAGCTTGCACGTTATGCATGTTACTTCCTGTTGTGGATTGTTCCGAAACGAAAATTCGGACGGATCCGAAAATCCGAATAACAAACCGATTTTTGCATTTGAAATCCGCATAACAAACTGAATCGGATTTCAGATCCGAAATCCAAAAAAAACAGAAGAAATAAAAATCAGAATAGATCCAAAATGAAACAAAACAACTTACTTGCCGGCACACTGTACACATGTAATGTTTACATGCGTACAGCATGTAGAGCAAATTGGCCTTATTGGTTCATAGGAGGCAGGATGCTCTTGCTGCGGTGCCTAGCCTCCTTCATTGCTAGGAGGCAGGTGGATCTTGCAGAGCTAGGATGCAGGTACCTCTTTGATCTCCAATAAAGTACATGTGCGCTGTATGCATGTAAATGTTAGCACAGCCAATACATTCCATATAGTAGACCTTAGATGCAGATTTTTATGCAGCTGAACGCACTACCAGATAATGGAGCTTTGTGCAGCAGTGTGCATGGATCCATTTGCATGGGCCCACAGAAGACAATACTGCTGCTTTTGGGTCCGTATAAATTATGGATCTGAATCCATAGAGTATTGTCTCTCCATGTACATGAGCCCTTATCTATAAAAGAAGTAAGCAAACAAGGACTTTTCGTGCCCATAGAAACAATTTGGCTTTCAACTAATTTCTGCAGTGTACATTTGAAAATGGACCAAAGATTCTAGCTAGTTGCTGCAGGCAGTAAAGGTGTCATACACTGCACGATTCTCGTACGTGAATCGCGGGAAATCCCGCGATCGTACGAGAATCGTGCAGTGTATGGAAGGCGCGCGACCGTTTCTAATGTCGAGCATGTTGGAAAACCAGCCGAGAATCGTACAATTTTCGGCTGGTTTTTAACATGATCGAGAGATGACTGCCGAACGGGCCGATGTGCGCACGCGCACACACTGACCGTTCAGCATTGCAGCCATTGGAAGCCCGCCCCTCAGGGGGGCGGGCTTGCGATGATCGCAAGTACGATCTGCCTGTCCTAGATGGGCAGATCGTACGTTTTGTAAAGTACTTTACAACCCTCGCAAGACAAAAGTCTTGCGAGTGTTGTAAAGTGTATGGCCACCTTTAGACATTTTCTTCTTAGCAGAGTTTTCACACATCAGCTTCTAAGAGTTATCTTATCACGTGAAATAGGGTAGCTGGAAGATTGTTAATTTATTAAGATAATTATCTAACTCCTGTGGAAGACTATACTTACAATACTCAGAATCTTACAATAGTCAGTAAAAAGTACAAATTTACAGATATTAGAAAAAAAGTATCCAAAGAATAACGTATGCCTAAAGCAACTGTTGATTAAAAGTGAATAATCTATTGTTCATTGAATGTAAAAGAAGCAAGGCAGCTGAGCACTGGAAACCACCCACTTGTTTATTCATGGAATTATGGAGGCGGTGATGAGGCGTTGTTTAAAAAAAAAAAGCCCACAGAAATCCCACTTACATCTTACTTTACAGGAAAGTTATGCATAGCTTAACAACAGCACTGAATATTTGGATTCTGTTGTCATCAATTACTTTTTTAAGTACTTACAGCCTGTGACACTTATCTGTTAACTGCACGGTGACTATTTACACTATTTACATTCCTCCAATATGTCACAGATATA